GAGGCTGGCGCGCTGCCTGGGAGGCGAAGTCTTCGCGAGCAAGTCATCCCTAACATGCATAATGAATCGTCGATCCCCAAGAAAATATGGGAACACATGGGAAGTGGGGGGGAGACAACAACCCTGAAAATATGGGAACATGTGGGGAATCCTGTTATTTATGTGTTCGTGGAATCGTCGTGGTCTCCATGGCATGGTTGCTGCATTCATTTGGGGCAGGTCGCAGGGCATTTTGATCCAGCTGTTCAGCCTGAGCGCCTGCGGTTGCGGACACTCCAGCGTTTCTGCTGACCTCGTCCGCGACGACTTACAGGTCACAGCCAATTTCGACCAAGCAGATGGTTTCAAGGAAACTGTGGAGAAAAGACAAGTCTGGCGAGCTACCGACGACCCCCCGCCCCTGGTCGAGCACCTGGGCGTGGTCTGCAGGCCCACGGACGTCGAGTACCCCATCTCCCCCAGAAAAGGGGTGGGGTACAGTTTTTATTACCGTTAACACTCTGGGATCTATCCCTGGATCCTCGCTGGTGCGTGAGCGGCTGGCAATTTCCTACGTCAGACCTCTGTGGTTCTGGGCGTCTCCCATTGTGGCGCCTGTTCCAGCAAGTATCCCACGACTCCTCCACACGGCGATCGTGCGGACCAAAACGAAGTGGTGGTGCCAGGGACGATGGTGGTGCCAGAAGGTCCACCTGGACCCGATGCTCGGGGCAGCCCTCCAGGCCTTCATCAACATCACCCACGCTAAGATGTACTGGAACGACTTCATCGACTACCCTCATCAACGGTATGCTGCAGTGCTTGGAGTTCGTGTCGTCCAGTTTTCAGGAACGCTAGGTTGTTTGCTCGAGATCTCGTCGGCCGACGATCACCGAGTACTTCGCGCAGCTCATGGTCTTTGTCTCCCTGGGGGGCGCCGTTTTTGGGACTCGTTTTTCGCTGGACGAGAGGTGCGCCAAGAGAGTGGACCACGCTCTTCGGCTCATAGCCCGCATTCGCTGTCTTCAGACAGTTACCCCTATCAAGGCACGACGCCGAGTCCATCGATGAGGTCGACGTGGAGGTGCTGTCGTGCAAAACTTTTCTAAAGTGGAGATCATTGTTATCGGACGCTGACAGACTTCGGCTGGAGATATTCCTGTCAGGGGCTGTGTCGTCCGAGACGCGTAAGCAGTCAGGTCACCCTTCTCCACACTGTGGACATTCCTGGCCGTCATTTCGACATCTTTGGGCTGAATGCCCAGACTACGCACACGCGAGGCCCGACATCACCCACAAGTTTAGCCTCATCTGGACCAGTGTCCCCAAAGCTACGGCCAAGAGTGGATGGATATGTCTTACTGAGGCTCCCACGTTACAAGCACGAGCTACAATGATGAGGGCGTCCTCCGAGATAGCCAGGCAGCTTAGTCCTTTGGAGCGTCTTCATCCCTTGGATTAAGGCTTTCGTGATGGGTCTACATTAAAGTTCAATGTGATCCATTCACCATGTTCTTCTTCGATGCTGAATGTGGTGATTGAACTCCCGCCGCCATGAGGGCTCGCAAAACTCGCTCGGCCTCCTAGCGGGCGGTCGCCCTCATTGAGGCTTTGTAGAGCTACGTCCGGTCTCCCAGCGACCTCCGATATTTGGCTATTGCTATGCTTAGACAGACGCGCCGGCGCCTCAGTTCTGCCACTTTCGTTTCTGAAGGTCTGGGGAGTTTTCCCTTCTCCAGTTGTGCGCGTTCTCCGTGCCCTCTTTGGCTCGCACCAGTTCCCCTCAATGATGATTTGCGGCAGCCCGCCGTGCCGGTTTCCATGCAGGGACTTTGTTGAACATCGTGATTGGCGTCGCACGATTCTGCGGCCTTGTTTCTAGCAGTAGTGGGTTCTTCGTCGGTTGTGTCGCCAGCGGAGCCTTACTTCAGTGCTTCAGCTCGGGTCTCGATGAAAGCCCGGGTGCGATAGCGTACCGCGCTTAGCGCCTATTCATGCGTTGGTTGCAGAGGCCAGCGGGCGGCAGCCGCTTTGTGAAGCATCCACCCGGGTGGCCCTGCGGAGATCGGTCGGGGCTCTGCGTGCTCCACCTGTACTGGGCGCCACCTTGTTGTCCAGCTGCCTCTTCCTTTTGAAGTGCATTTGCGATGTTCGTCGATATTTGCATTGCGTGTTGGGGAGGAGGGTAGGGTTAATTCACCATCGCTCAAACATACTTCTACTGTGTGTGTGTGTGTGTGTGTGTCCGCCCCTCCCCCCTAGGAGCGACTCGCGCGCTCAGACGGCTTATACTAAATGCTCGAAAATTCTAGACGGCAGCCTCTTTCTGGCTATAGCGCCAGGGTAGCGATACAGGATAAGTCATACTATCCTTGTGCTGTATGTTCGGAAGGGGGGCGCACAGTACTGGTTTTCCCTTGTTCGCCCAATCCAGATGGCGACGAAACTCTCACGACTGCAGAGTAGGCCTTGACATCTGCCGAGGAGGTCCCTAAGCGATATTCGACGTCCGATCTCTGGTCTACAGTGCGCCCCCCTTTAGCGAGGAAAGGCGTCGCGCTGCTTTCATCATGGCAGTGCCATCCCTCCTGCCCCACCTCCTCCAGCTCCTCTGCCTCCTCCAACAGGCCAGATCAGACCATGTCACACAAGCCCCGACCATACTATACCTGACCAAGCAGGGCCCCGCCAGACCAGACCAGACCAGACCACGCAAAGGCAGACCAGGCCTGACCAGATGATGTTGATGATGCTGCTGCTGCAGATGGTGATTATGATGATGACGATGCTGCTGCTGATGATGATGATGCTGACGACGGCGATGCTGACGTTGATGCTGATGATGATGATGATGATGCTGATGCTGATGATGATGACGATGACGATGACGATTACGATGATGAGGATGACGACGATGTTGATGATGACTATGCTGATGATGATGATTATGATGATGATTATGCTGATGTTGATTTTGATGCGGATAATGCTGCTTATGATGCTGATCATCAGGATCATGACCATCATGTTCACGATATTGATGTTGATCTGATGCTGAATCTGATGATTCTGCTGCTGATGATGCTGATGCTGACGATGATGATGGTGATGGTGATGCTGATGATGATTATGATC